GCACCGACACGAAGAGCAAAGCCAAGGCGGGTGCAGCGGATGGTGAAAACAGCGGCGAAAAGCTATCTGCTCGGCATGGAGCTTCTGCAGTGGCTGGCTGCTATGGAGCATCGTGATGGCTGGGCTTCAAAGATGAAAGCCACCAAAAGCCTGCAACCGGACAAGCTGCAGAAGTGGATCCGATCGCCTTCGGACGATCTTCGGTTGATGGAAGCACTGCTGGCTGCGTACCGCTCGCAAGTCGATGTCCGTCCCGAGGGCAAGTCCCGGGGTCTTTCCGACAGCGACGGGAGCGAGCAGGCGGTGGCCAAGAGCACTTCGTCTCCTAGGAGCGACAGCGACGACAGCGATGACCGCCGGGGCGAGAAGCGCAAGAAGAAGGCCAAGAAAGACAGCGATTCTAGCAAGGACAAGAAAAGCAAGAAGAAAGAAAAGGAGCGGCGAGGCAAGAAAGGCAAGAAGGAGGACCACCCCAAGAAGAAGAAGAAAGCTGGCAAGGACAAGAAGTCGCACAAGACCTCCAGCAGCTCCGGCAAAACTTCGAAGGCTGAGGACAAGAAGCCCAGCCCTGAGGACGACTTGACGCTCAAGATCCGGCGAGTGACTGGTCTCACTGCGGAAGGCCGTATTGCCGTCAAGGACACCGACCTCTACGATGAGATCCAATTCGATAGTGCAGAAGCCACCCTGACGGATGTGTTGGTGCAATTCTTCGAAGCCCAGAGCAGCAAGGAGGAGTTCGACAACTGGAGTGTCAAGGCCCTGATCCAGGGCAAGTGCGTGGAGATCTCCGCCCCTACCACACCCGCCACTCTGTGCAAAGAGGTCGTTCTGATCCGCAAAGGCGGCTGAATCGGTAGGTAGAGTAGGTCCGGGAAACTTCCTTTGGTTTGCAGCCACTGTAGATGGCGGGAGGTTGTAGCACAGTCCTGCCCCAGTGGCTGCCGAGATCCTCTGTGTGTCGACAAAAGTTGACCTGTGACTGCTCTCTGTGCGTTGTCGGAGCAGAGTAGGCGGCATGTGGCACAGTCCTGCCCTCGGCGACTGCGTACGAGCGGTGACGAAAAGGAATCCGTTGGCCGGCGGGGGGGGGGGCAGCAGCGTAGTTTGTCGATGAGTTTGAGCATACGTTGCCTGCCTTGGAGAGCTTCGTTTGGCCCTCACCAGAAACCTGTATATATCGCCCTAGCAGGCACCGTACAACACGTAGCACCATGCCACGGGCTTGCGTCGGCATGGTTGACGCCCCCTGCTGCTTCTCGACTTCGTCTGCTGGCCGACCTGCGCAGCCCAGCCCGAACCACGTGCAATGCCTCTTCTGCAGCAATCCGGCTCGCCTCGGAGATGTTCTGAACGGACCGGGAGGCAAACCCTTGGTTTTGCGGATGCTGCGTGCTGCTGAGCTCGTTTTCGGTTCTCGACCTCGTTAGTTTAAACCGGCTGGCTTGCCTATTTGCCTTTGTCTGACCGTTCGTCGAGCCGAGGCTTTACGCTCCACGAGCGAAGAAGCCTACGAGAAGGCCATGGCACGCTTGCTGGAGGTGACGCCGGAGTCGGCTGAACTGGATTCGCTGGTTTCGGAGCAGCTCGCCGAAGCCCCGCCTCGAAGACGAAGTCTGCGGCCGCGGTCCTGAAGATACGACGGGTGAGCGGCATCTCCGCCGCCGGGAAAGTCTTAGTCAAGGATACGGATCTCTGTGACGAGGTCGAGGTCGACGATACGGATACCTTGCTCATTGAGGTCCTGCGAGGTTTCTTCCGGACTCAAAGTGCAGAAGAAGACCTCAGCAACTGGAAAATCAAGGCTTTGGTGTCGGGCAAATGCATTGACGTGAATGCGGAAACCACGCCTGCGATGCTCTGCTCGGACGTGGTGCTCTGCAAGAAGGGCGGCTGAAGATGCGAGCCTGCACGTCTGGGCCCCGGGGCTGCAGTTGCAGTACCTGGAGTGGCTGTATGTAAGCCGTCGGCGGCGGGAGGTTCCGGCACAGTCTTGCCCTGCGGCTTGCGAATGTGTCACTCCGATCGGCACTGAAAGCAGTGGTATGACCGCACGGAGCAAAAAGGTAGTTGCTGCTGCTGGTCCTGAGACCACTGTCTGCCAGACCTGGGCTGTCATGTGACCTCGTAATCGCGACTACTTGACTTGATGCATCTCCGCCGCCGTTTTTTTTGCGAATCGTTGTCCTGGTGGATCGCCTCACTCGCACATGCCTGTACACAAAAACGGGCAGTCCAGGAGTGGCGACAGGCAACAGTCACTAGAGATTGGAGAGCACGGCGGCTGCCGAGGCATGGTCGAAGCCGTCATACCGAGCATCTTGTGATATCGAGATGCCGCGAAGATTGACCAGTATGTCACCTAGGACTCGAAGATACTCATGGAACGATTTCGTCCTCGAATCATGACCTAACTTCGACTTTCTTGACAGGGTATGAGACACCAGTATTGTAGTGCCTCTGCTTGCACCTGCCATAAACGAAAGGTCAGACGTCTTCGGTCGGTGCGCACCTGCAACTTCCCTTCGATTGTGCCTGGGCCCCGTTGAAGATAACGACCGCCGTCGTGGAGGCCCAAGCCCCCGCTGGGATGCCTAGAAGACTTTAGAACTAAACCCTAAAATGCTTGAACTTCGGGTGGTCTTGGGGTGGGCTGTCTGCTACGCACAGGTGCGAGCGGCCTGGGTGTGCACACACCAGCGAGCACCCATGACGTTACCACACCCCAAACCCTAAACCCTAAACCCTAAACCCTAAACCCTAAACCCTAAACCCTAAAC